TCTACCGAAAAATCCACCCCTGGTCTCCTCCAGATTGGGTTTACGGTGGTCTAAAGCGTCGGCGTCGTGAGACGGCCATGGCAGTCCAGATCATCAGCAGCTACCGAATGCAGAAAGGAGGAGTCTCACATTTGCTGCGATGCCATGATGCATCGAATGCGTTTTTTTTTTCGCTCAAGCACTCCGGGGTAATTGACACTGCAGATACGATTTATCGAAGACCTCGAGTTTATCGAAGATCGGATTATCAGGGGTGTTTTTAAACTTCAAGACGAATCTGGGTGCTTCTGGTTTCGTCCTGGGACAGGTGTATTTCCTGGAGATACTGGAGCTACTCTACTATGTGTGAGGTCGTTCTCCCAGCCAGTTATGCAGCACGTTGCCGGTCAGTTCTGCACACACGGGTGGCACGTCGCTGTCGAGGCACGGCTCCCGTGGGACGAGCACGGCGTGGACGTGCGGCAAGTTGCACTCACTGGGTTTGTAGATGACATTGCCAACAAAGTACTGGAGATTGGGAAGGGGGACGCTATTCAGCAGTTAGCAGCAGGTTCAGCAGCCGAGAACGAAGCAGTATCAGGCGGGATGGGAGAGGTGGGAGCAAAACAAAACGCATCTAAGCAGGAAAACGTCGTCTTTTTAGCAGGCACGGGCGCACACAATTTAACGAGGTTCTTGCATCGCGGCGAGTGCAAGACAATCGCAGGAGCGTGCCGTCACCATGCACGATATCTCGGAGGGCATCTTTCCTCCACGTTTTCGCCTGCTCCTGAAGTTGGGAAGCGACTTGAGTCGCTCCGAGTAAACTATTATACGATGCGAAGCTTCTGGTTCTCGACTGCGCCTTAGAAGCTCAAGGTGAATCTCGTGAAAGGCCTCTTGATCAACAGTGCTCTCTCTGGGATGGAAGTCTGGGCCAAGTCCAAAGGGCCCCTTTCGCCGAGGGATATCCAGGTTCTCGAAACGTTCATCGTGCACAAGTGTAGGGCTATTCTGGCTGGGACTTGCACTTGGGAGTCGGGGCATGCAAAATCGCTCACGTCTTATCAGGTTCTCAAGAAGTCCGGAGTGGGGCCTCTATTTCTCGAGCTCAGATTACGACGACTTAGGTGTTATCAGGAATTAAGCAAAGCCAAAGAGTTTCATGGCCAGTTTTGGACCGCTATGCTAGGCTCTATGGCAGTGGATGGAGATGTGTTACTAGAAGGTCGAGTTCCTCCTCAGGGGCACCCATGGGCCGTTCAGCTACAGCAGGACATAGGCTCTCGTGGGACCATAGAGCCTGGCGAGGATCTTTTATTGCAGGCAGAGGGTCGCCTGGATGTCATTCTGTTTGACCCCGACATCAGCGAAGAATTTCAAGCACTTGATGTCGGTCAGCTGCGCGCTCATGTTCTTCTCTCGCCAGCTGCCACCAGCGCAGCTACTCAGGTGGATGGGGTCGAGAGTTTCTGGACGACGGGACACAATGCTGCACCCGATGGGCCACCAGAAAACAATGAATAGCACACATCGTCTCTACGAAAGGAGGTACTCATGGTCAACTACATGTAGCCAGGTTATGTACCCCGACCAATACGTGCACCATATGTGGAAGTGTATTTCGTGACCGCACAGTAGCACAACAACATACAAAGAAGAGTTTGATCAGACAGCATTGCCCCTATAGTCGTGGTAGATATGAAAATGCAGTTAAAGAAAATACTAACATGAAGTGCCACATCTGTCTTGAGGAGTATGAATCGGTAGACTCATATCTCGAGCACCTTTTTCTTCATTTGCGTGAGCATCTATATTCCAAGTTTCACGTTCGGCTTGATGGAGGGTGCAGGGTCAAGCTCGGGACTGGTGAGACCACGCGCACTGAGCCTGCTGGGAGGATCAGGGCCGCTGCAGAAGCAGGCCAGGACGGAGGGCGACATGGAGGAGGAAGACGAGCAGCACGACAAGAACTCGACCAGGGACGCTCTTCTGATCCAGCTCGAGGCCAGAGTCAGGAGCCTCGAGAATGCAGCCTTCTCCACCGCGATCATCGATCGCAAATCAGCAGCCATCGAGGCCATCAACAACTCGTTCCAGGATTACCTCAAGCGCATCAAGGAGGAGAAGGCCAAAGGCAAGCAGGAGCTCGCAGGCCCCGCGTCCCAAGCCCTTTTCGCACTTCTAGCCGTTATCGAGAACTACAGCTTCAAGGATACTTCGCCGCGGATGAAAGCGGTCGTAGCAGGCTGCAAAACTGAGTGCGCTCATGATGGGGCGCTCGGTTCCAGTACAGATGGCTTCATGGATTCGAGAGCTAGTAGCGCTCCCCATGTTCGACAAGCCAGGGGTGTCTCCGAAGAGTCGCATTACGTACGCGCTGCACGGCAACATGCTCCTGCCTTACGAGGACGGGGTCGCGGCCGAGCTCGAAGCCAAGCTCAAGGAGAACCCCGAGGATCCCAATATCCCCGTGAAAGGCCTCATGATCAGCCCAGTGGAGGTCCCGTCAGAGATGATGCAGATCACAGGGCTCTGGATTCCAGTCGAACAGCTGATCAGCGAGGCCCTTCGAGGAATGGGAGGAGACGTGAAGATGAATCGAGCCCCTCGCAACAACATGGCCCGCCAGCTCGGCGGGAAACGCAGGGGGGGCAAGAAGTAAGTGAGTGAGTCATTCCTACGGCCACGCCCTCGCGCTGGGCCGCTTCCTGCAGGCCATCAGCCTGCTGCCCGCGCCTTTCCAATCTTCTCTTTGCTTGTGTACTGTATGCAGTTGCGTGATTTCTATTCAGTCGTGTTGCACACTAGCGCGTTGTATTCATTCCAGTGTTGTTGCCTGTCTTTTAGTACATTATACTTGTGTATTGTCACAGCAGCTGTTGTTTGTGCAGCAGAATCAGCAGAATGCAAGGTGTTGCGGTAGCAGCATGGTTGCCTAGCATGGCGATATGTCGAAATGGGTGGCGTAGCAATGTCTATCGAGCCCCAGCCCGAGCCAGAGCACAACAGTCAGAGGATAGTCTTGAAGGGATTGAGTACTACTACGACTACTACTCCCCCTCCTCCTCCTTTTCCTCCTCCTGCTCCCTCTCCTCCCCTAGCGTGTCGGGCAGACACTGTCTCGATACTGTTCCGGGTGCTCGAAATTACTCCTGGGATGTGGTCCGTAAGTACGATGGGAAGAACCGACCTGGCACCAAAGAATGCCGCGGTTGCGGCTGGCTGGCTGGATGCCCCAACTGCCCGGTCATGCTCCCGCCCCGCCGAGCCTCCTTGCATCCGATGGTTCGGGCCGGCTCTTTCCTGGCCCGACTCGGAACCAAGAGTGTTCACGGTGGTGCAAGTGCAGATTACGATGAGCTGGGGGCCTGGTGTTGCCGCCACTGAGGGAAGATGATCCTTTGTTTGGAAGCTTGTGGAGATTGTCTCGGCCGCCTGAAAGCCCGCATATTTCAACCATCACCGAGGTCAGGATCATCTTCCCTCAATAGAGGCAACCGCCGATACCGGTGCTGGTGCCAACCTCCAGGCCCTAGATCTCCGAAGAGGGCATTGACGGCGCAGACCTGGAAACCAGCATTTGTTTCGTCAGCGGCCGCAGAGGGTCAGACGGCGGTCGAACAGCGGCGGGACGCGCCGAAACACAGCGAGGCACGAGGAAGAGAGAACGCGCGGGGGCGCAGGGCGGCCGAGAGGCTGGGGGGGCGAGGGAGCCGAACTCAGGCAGGGGAAACCAACGCTTCACGCCACCGCTACCATCCCCCGTGCCTCCTCCGAGGATGGGGCCCCGAGGCTCCACCGTGGCCGCGGGGCAAGGCACTCCCATTTCAACCATAGAATGAACTGGGACGCACAAGGTCATACTAGCAATGTGTGTCCTCCTTGGAGGCGTGAGTCCGACCCGTGTTCGACCATGGACCCTTTGTTACCCATCGCTCCTGGGCGGTCTTCGGCAGTCTTTTGGCGGTCTTCGGCGTTCTTCGGCGGTCGTCGGCGGTTCTCTGACAGTCTTCGGCTGTCTTCGTCGGTTTCCAGCGGTTTTCAGCGCGAATGCTGGATAGATGCGGTTAACGAAGGTCCAGAATCGAACACCTAATCTTCACTATGGGATGAAAACATTAAACAAAAGCCGAAAAACTTAGGAAAAAATGTCTTGGACCCCAGGGCGTTGCTCCGTACCCGCTTTTCATCCTGAGCCGCTGTTTGAAGGCCCCGGGGCCCAGGGGGCGAGAGCCCAAGAGCGCCGAAAAACGTTCAGACCCGCTCCCCCCATGGAGGGGAAGAGAACGGGGACCATGACCAAGACTGAACGTGGAAACGTCGTGACGATCTTGGTCAACGTCGATCTGAGTCAGTGTCAATTCGTGGATCATTCTCGAGTCGGCGACGGCCGACATGGACCATGATCAAGATCGGCATCGACTCGATCCCGCAACATCTTGGTCATGGCCCCCGTGCTCCTCGAGACAAGATATGCCTATACGACCACTCTGCGGGTGATAAGGAGGATGGGGGGGCAGCAATGGGACAAAGCGGGACACCGGCGGGACACCGGCGGGACACCGCGGGGCACCGGCCGCCGGAGGAGATACATTTGGTCTGGCCGCGGACCAGCCACAGGAGGATTTCCTCTCGCCCGCCCACGCAGCTTCACCTCGCCCGCATGCACGCACGGCACGCAGGACACGAACCCGAAACCGAAACCGATTTCCCAGTAGGGAGGGTCTCTGTTTCACGTCGGACTCACCCCCAACCTCCGATGCATGTTCGCCGCCGCTGGCCCAGGACGAGCCCAGCCAGCGGCGGTGGATATGCATATCTAGATTTCGTCGCCTTCATGGTCATGCCACATCCCGCGACACCTTGGTCATGGTCCCCTTGTGCCTTCCACCAGGACACGTCTGGTCCATGGCGACCGTCGCTATCGGCCTCTCCCGCGGCTCCGCGGAGACGGGCGCTTGCCGGAAACTCCGCGCGACGGGCGCGTCGGCAGCTCCAAACGCGCCGGGGGCCCCCGCTCACAACTCGTCCCGCCTGGCGGCGCCTTCTCCTGGCGGGGGGGGAGGCAGACCCAGGACCCCCCTCGCGCCGTGGAGGAAACAGCAATGAGCACAACAGAGAGTTGTCGCTGGTTTCGGCCTCCAGGGAGGCCTCGATTGCTAGGCCCCAGTACTCAGGACCGTCAAAAGCGACTCGGAATCAAGAACCGGTCTCGGGGAGGGCGTCGAGACCTCTGGGGACACGCACGAAGAAAGTCATGACTCTAGACGTCTATGGGCCCAGAGCTGCAGGCGCGAAGCCAGGCCCCACGTGGGAGGAGCTGGGCCTGCGCACTGGCAGCCCCCCGAGGTGGTCCCAGCTGGCCTCAACGTGCCCCATAGGTAGTCTGGCCTGGGGCGGTCTCAGTCGTGGACGCACTGACCCGGGGCATCGCAAACCCGATTCAATCAGGCCTAGCAGGATCCTGCAAAATCCTGCTGAACCCTGCACGCTAACCTGGGTCAGTGCACCCCTGGCCCTGCAGGATTCTGCAAGATCCAGCGCACTGGCTGACCCCCGTGTGCATTGACCCCCGTCTCTTGAGCCCCGACTCAGCACCCCCGCGCCGCCTCCGGTGGCGCCCCCTGGGGCCCGCCCCAGGGTGGCTGGGTGCAACGCCGTCCTCGTGAGCAGATTCTCCTTGTCATCTGCACCCCAATGCGGTTTCGCTTCGCACTTGGCCCACCGCCCCCGGTCGTCGACGCAGCAGCCGCCGCGCGCCGAGCGGCGGAGCCGGCCACGCCCTACGCTCGGGGAGCGTTCTGACCCCTGAGCCGCCCGCCCTATTCTGTTTTCCCATCGGCCGCGTCCCTCCTCCTTCATCCTGCTGCATGGTGGCACAATTCGGCCCAACGGTACCCCCGTTCATGCTATTCATCGCCAGCACAGTCACCACCTGCCTAGCCGCCATCGCAAAAAGTCATCTGCACCCAACCCAACTCAAAGACCCATATTGCGGGTTGGGGGTGGTACGGGTTCCATATGAGCGACGATCAAAACGGGTCCGAGATGACACAGCGACGTTACGCAGTGGCTTACGCGGAGCACCGGCGCGGCACGCTGCATTGGAGACGAGGGCGCTGGCGCGCGACCTTACGCGGGCAGCTCACGCACCAATGTCGGCGCAGACGACCCCATTATTTTGCGTCGCTCATATGTGGTTTTGTCAGATGTTCCCAGACGCCTCCCCCCATACTAGGGATGGCGGGCCAATTGGGGCCTTCAGCTTCGGTTGGGGTGGTTTGGTGGGTGGTGAACATCGAACAAGCCCGAAGCCGACCCACGCGTGCGCAGTCTCAGCGAAGGGAGGCGCACAGACACTGAAAATGTAGACCTAGGCAAGAGCATCAAGCAGGCCATCACCTTCGTCGAGCGACTGTGTGCAAAAACATCCTGGAGCTGATGGCGACAGTCGACATGGCGTGGAAGGTGCGCGTGCGCGATGCTGGGCGGGACGCGCGGCGCACATTGTCGTTCACCGAGGCGTGCCAGGCGGAGCAGCGCAGAGTGATTTCGACTTCGGCAAGGTGCGGGCCCACTGGATTTGCGCACGCCGTCGACGTGGGCGCTGTCAGTGCCTTGAGCACGTTCACCAAGGGGCAGCTACTCGTACGCACTGCGACTTCCTGAGCCACGCCGCTGCCGCAGTGCCGCGCGATTGTGCCAGACGTGCACGCGTCGTAGTAGCCACAGCCCTCCAGAGCACAGGCATGGCCGTCGCGGTCGCCTTCACCTGGAGGCACTTCCCAACGATGGAGGCGCGCATCAACCAACCTGTACGCCCGGCGTAGCCGAGTTGGCCCGTAACCAAATCGGTACCCTGCGTCACCCAGAGTGTCAGAGAAGCGGAACGCTCCGGCGGCGGCGCGGAGGCTGGATCCGCACGATGTCCTCCGCACGCATGGCTTGGAATGGTCGGCTTACTGGCGTGGCCATGGGCTGCGGAAAATACTACCTGGCAGTCGGTCCATGGCATGCCCTCGGAAAGACGAGCAGGCGGCACGCCGCCTCGCATGTGAGGCGTGGGCACTCGCAGCACGGCGGCAAGTTGGCGAAGTCAAGCGGCGTACGCAACTGGTGGAGGCCAGCTGCCTGGAGCGCACGAAGGGCGACCCCTGCGAGGTGCTCAAGCAGGAAAGCCAGGGTCCCGCCAGTACGTGAACGATGTCACAGCGCCATGTTTGTGCCTGCCTGAGGAGCAAGTGCTTCACAGACTCTGGCCACAAGACGTGCGAGAAGCAGAAGCACTCACTCGTTCGTGCGCAAGGTCGTGAGCTTCTTTGGGCTACCTCGAAAGTGGGTCTGGCGATTGGCGTTTGGGAAGCAGGGTATTGCAAGTCACGGCGATGACCGCAAGTGGCTCTTTTGGGGTGTGGCGTCTCTCCGATGTGTTGCCGAACTTGACTGGCTGCTTGGGCACACTGAGATCTGGGGCAGAGCCTTGCCAGCGCGTGGCTTGCCGCGGCGAAGCCCGCGCTCACTGCACCAGTGGCGGATGCGGTCCAAAGCCACGAGAAGTGCGACTCGGGCCAAAGTGATGGCAGACACTCTGAAGCATTCCGCTGGCAAGCAGCCACTCTGAAGCATTCCGCTGGCAAGCAGGCAGCCAGCCACCGTGTCCCTGGGGGGACCCCCTGCGCGGCTGGCCAGGCAGCCACCCCGGGGCTAGTAGGCAGGGGCGGGGCCACATTGCCCGTGGACGAGTTGTGGAGAAAGCTGTGAGCCTCGGTGTCGTTCAGCTTTGCTGCTGTGGGACCTCTCGCCTTCGGGAGAGGGCGATGCTCATCCGCGGACTCGTCGCCATCGTCACTCGGGATGCATGGCTACTTCAGTCGTCCTGGGCAGGCAGGGGCGGCAAGGCCTATGCGACGCCGCACTCAGCCATCCCAGAGCCCTTGACGGACGGCTGGACCCAGGCAGGTCTCTTCGGCGGGGCCCTGGACGTCGACGACTTCTTGCTCTTGTCAAGGGCCTTGTGTCACGGCTGCCTCAAAAAAGGTTGCCGGGGTGTACCAGAAGTCTTTCGGTATGGGCCCCGCCCGCTCTGTGTTCGCTTGGCTGGATGTGGTCGTCACCAGCTCGCCAGAGGATGCCTTTACGTGGGCCGCGAGAAACCCAACCCGGCAAGGGATCAACAGGGGCGGACCCAAGAAGAAGGGGCAGTACCCGCCGTATCTGGAAGGCTGCAGACTGGCTTCAGCAGCTTGGCTGGGTGGCACAGTGATGCGAGCTGCGCCTCTCCGAGCGGCAGCGCATGGGCCTTTGGGTCGAGGAGCTCCAGAATAATGATGGTGATGGTGATGGTGGTGGTGATGGTGGTGATGATGGGGTACCCGTGGGAGCTGCCTGAAGAAGCTGTTGCATTCGCTGGGCGTCCGTCGAACGGAGGGGGTTCTGTTTAGTCCAACTGGGCGGGCTTTTCTTTCTTCTTCGTATTCTGCCCGGTTTCCTGTTTGGCTCGAGACCCCCATTGCTGCCCGCGGGGTGTCTGCGGCAGGGCACGAGTGATCTACCGGGTGGTTGGGCTCTTCAGCCCGCGGGAGCTGGAGAACAGTGCGACAGGTTACGCTTTCCCCACCTGTGTGGAGGACGGGGGCTAACCCTGACGACGGATCACCGATGCATTGGACACTTCGAGCGCTCGCGCCCCCGTCGACGACGAACGGGCGATCTGGGGTAGACCCTTCCACTCCTGAGCCTGCCCCCCACCCCCAGACGGGGACGCGCTAACCTGGGCCAGCCAGGGCCAAGTCGGGAACCCAGGCCGGCGACGAATGAGCCCCCAAAACCCGAGCCAGCGGAGGGCGGGGAGGGGCTGTCGGCCGCGCACGGCTCCCAAATCTGGGATCGGCCAGAAGGATCAGAGTGGGCTGGCTATCCGCCTTGAGCGCTGACCCCTGCTTCAGCGCCCCCGACCCAGATTCGCCCCCGATCTCCGGGCTCGGGAGGCCCCGCGTCGTAGGTGCCGTCGCAGTAGGCGACCAGGTCGCGGCACTGGCGCACGAGGCCCGAAGTGTCCACGGAAATCTCGCCCTCGAGCAGCGAGACCGCCTCCACGAGCAGCGGGCGGCCCTGGGCGCAGCTGGCCCCAAGCGCGAAGAGCTCGCCTGCCACCTTGTAGTACGCGCCAGCGTTGCCATCTTGGGGCATCTCCTCGCGGACGCGCCCGACGACGTCGGTCACGACCTCGAAGTAGCGCTGGAAGGCAGCCTGGTCCAGCTTCGGGGCCGACAGGTGCGTGCCCACGAGCTCGCCATGGATCTCCATGATCCCCTGCAGGTCGAACGCATCCTCCCGATCGCCGCCGTCGTCGCCGCCGCCGTCGAAGGATCCTGCCGCCGTCGCCGCCGCTAACGCCGCTAACGCCGCCGCCGCCACCGCTGCCGCGGTCGCCGCCGAAGGTTTCGCTGCGGGCGGGCCCGCCGCATTTCTTGTGAGGAGGCCTCGGACAGCGCCGCGGACCCCGCGGCGACGCGGACCCCGCGCGCCGTCGTCGGCGTCTTCGTCTGCGTCATCGTCGTCGGCGGCGGCGGCGTCGGCGTCGTCAACGTCGTTTGCGTCGTCGTCGTCGCCGTCGTCGTCGGCGGCGCCGTGACGTCGGCGTCGTCCATCGGCGTCGCCTTCGCCGTCTGGCGGCAGCGTCGACGGTGGCGTCGACATCAGGCAGCGGCGGCGTCGGCATCAAGGGCGACGTCCTTCGCGGCCTCGAGCCGGTAGGCGCGGTGCAGGGCCGACCGTGCGTCGTCGAGGCGGCCCTGCGCTACGAGGATCCTGCCTCGCCGGCGGTGCGCAAGCGAGGGGGCACAGGCCAAGAGCTCCGGCGGGCTGGCGCGCCCCATCCCGACGACGGTTACTGCCGACGGCCGACGACGACCACAACGACGTCGACGACGCGCAACGACGACGGCGGCGCCCGACGGCCGACGGCGACAGGCGCCGCACGGCGCGGGCCGATCGACGAGGCCGCCCAACGGCGGCCTGCGGGGCCATCAGAGAACGATCGGGCGTGAGGAGCTGGCCACTGGGGCCAGCTCGTCGCTCCCGAGCGTAGTTGCTGCAGTTGCCCTTGCAGCAGCCCTTTTGCCAGCTTGGATGTTTGTTTCCATTTGCCGCTGTTCTTCCGTCTATCTTTGGCTCTGCAGTCCCTGGCCACGGGGCAAATTCTGCCGCTCGGGGAGGGGGGGCCCAAGCTCTCCAACGCACTTCGAAGACCCTCGGAGGCCCCATAATCCCCAAATCCCCTGGCGGAAAGAGGTTTGGCGCGTTTCCTCGTCCAACTCCGCCCTACCCCTCCGAAAAAGATCTGATCACTGCTACTTTGTTAGGGGGACCCGTGCTATGAGAAAGCATGTTCTCTTTCCTTTTACGAGGGCCAGGGCGCACCCGTCACCCGCGCGCCAAAAAACTCAAGGGCCCTTGTGAGCCACAACTGCGGCGCACAAGGGCGGTGGGACAGAGACGCAGGAGGAGGAGAGGCTGAAATGTGCACGACTACCACACCTCCTACCTCTTCTGCAGCCGAAGAGCCGACTCAGCCTCAGTCCATGAACTTCCTCTTATAGTTGCCGTAGCCTTGGTAACCGTGGCCGTTTGGATACCGTAGACTTCGCCTGTGATCCCAAAGCGTCTGCGACACGCAGCCGGCACAGCGACGAGAACACTTTCTCCTCCTCCTCCTCCTCCTCCTCCTCCTCCTCCTCTCCTCCTCCTCCTCCTCCTCCTCCTCCTCCGCCTCCGCCTCCGCCTCCTCCTCCTCCTCCGCCTCCGCCTCCGCCTCCGCCTCCTCTTCGTCCTCCTCCTTCTCATCCTCCTCCTTCTCCTCCTTCTCATCTTTCTCCTGCGGTATTGGCCGCAGATACGCCTTGACCCGATGCAGGTTCGATCTGGGGTTTTGTTTCTCGCTCCGACTGGCGGTGCTGGTGTCCCACAGCCAGGCCTAGTACCCGAGCCTTGGGGTATCGCCAGCCAGGCGAGGCATGCCGTCCTTTTCACTGCAGAGTGCTGTTTTGGCGCTACCTCTTTGCTGGGCACGGGGGTGGACTTTGGGCACACTTGCCCACCCTGACTGCTGCCCAGATCCACCTTCCCACCTCCCCGCCACAGGCGGCGGAGGAACGGGATTGTGGCCAGGCGTGCAACGCCACATCTGGGCCCAACTGAGTATATACTGTGTGCGTGTGCGTGCGTGTGTGGTCCTGCACGCGTGTCAGGCACCCCGCCTCAGGGGGAAGGAGCGCTGCACACTTTTCTGCGGCACAGGGCTGCAGCTTAGCCTCAGCCCACAGCTGTTTCCTAGGGTCAGGGCTTCTTTCCTGGACTGACGGTGCTGGTTACGCAGCCAGCCCTAGAACCCGAGCTTTGGGGTTCCGTCAGCGAGGCGACAACCCCACGGGGGCCTCTGAGCACGGGGGTGGACTTGGGTTGCCAGTCCGCCCCGACAGTGGCTCTGCCCCACTTCCCCACCCCACACGATCGTGGGCGGTGGCGGTACGGTGCTGCTGAGGCCTGGTGTGCAAGGCCACACCAGTCCCCAGCACCGCATTCAGCGTCGGCAGCGCACTGCCGTCTCAGCGGCACCCATGGCCGCTGTGGAGAACAACTGGTGGCCCAGTGCCACGAGGTTTCGGGTTAGGGCCGGGTCGGCCAACCCTTAGCTCCTCCGCCTCCTCCTCCTCCTCCTCTTCCTCCTCCTCCTCCTCCTCCTCCTCCTCCTCCTCCTCCTCCTCCTCCTCCTCCTCATCGCCCTCGGCAACCGATCTGGAATCGCGAGGTGCATCCTGGAAACCAAGGGAGACCACGGGAGACCATGTCGGCGTCCGATCTGGGATCGCGAGATAATCAATAAATTACACCCTGGAGACCACGGGGGACCACTGGAGACCACGTCGGCAACCGATTTGGATTCGCGAGATGCACCCAGAAAACCACGGGAGACCACGGAGACCACGTCGGCAACCTATCGGGAATGGCGAGATGCACTCTGGAGAGTGGAGGTCTTGGCACCTCCGGGTCGGGTGAACTCCGGATCTGCCCGCGGCATCCCTGGCGAGAAAGGGTCGATGACCTCACCGCCCCAGAACGACAACCATGGACACGCCCATGGTTGTCGTTCGGGCGTTCGGCGGAAAGTGAGAAAACCAGAATTCCACTCAATTCGCGAATTCCGATTAGGGCTCACGCCTCTGACTGCCTTGCCGCTGATTATTACCATCATGAAGCAGATGCATCAGCTGCACGGATGGAGGGCGATCCCTTTCCAAAGAGGGGCTGCCGCTGGGCACTTCCTTGAACTTTGTGGCCCCGCTTTGTCATACTCCTCATAGCTCCAAGGATGGAGGGCAGTTTCTTCCAAAACTGATATCACACCTGAACTGCGGATTCGTGGGGCACTCGTCTTTCAAGGAGGCCACAACGTGCGGTGACAAAGAGCGCTTGTAGGGCCTAATGGGAAGGGGACTTGGGACGGGAGGGTGTGCCGCAGCACGGTTGATAAATGCTGGATTTACTCTGGTCCTCCCTCATCCTCCTTCCTCCTCTTCCTCCTCCTCCTCCTCCTCCTCCTCCTCCTCCTCCTCCTCCTCCTCCCTCCTCTTCTGGTCCTACTCCTCGTCATCACCTCCCTACTCCCTCCTCCCTCATCAGAAGGCCGCCTTCGCACAAGGCCGCTCCTGGGGAAACCCCAAAAAAACAATACCGCTGCTCCCCAGACCTTTCCCGGGGTGCGTTCTGACCAAGGCTTCGAGGCGAATTCGACGGTGCCGACGAGGGCCTCCCAGGAAGCCCAAAAAGGAGAAAGCGAGGCAAGGGTAGCGGTATGGGTACATGTTCCTCCTCTTAGCTCCTGTGAGCTCCCCTACTCGCGGCCGGGCCTAGACGCGTCAGCGCCGACGCGACAAGGGGGGAGTCGTCGCCCGCGGTGACCTCGAAGATCCGCACCGCTTCTCTGGAGATGGCCTCGGCCTGCGGCAGGCGCCCGCGGGAGCGAGAGATAGAGAGAGAACAAAAAAAATGGTAGTGGGAAAGAAAGGAAGAGAGAGGAAGAGAGAGAACAGGAAAAGACAAACAACACAAAACGTGAATAAAACATGAAAATATACATAAATAAATAAACAAATAAATGAATATCGGTAAATGGGGGGTGTGAACGAAAGTGACCACAACTGGGAAATCGGTTTCGGCTTCGGTTCGTGTCGTGCGTGCGGGGGAGGCGAAACTGCGAGAATTCCTGCACTTTATGGGACCATCTGTTGACAAAAGGGCCGCCCCCCGAGCGCCGGGCTTGGCCCCCCGTTGTCCCGGCGGTTGTCCCGATGGTTGTAGTTGTCCCGATGGTTGCCCCGATGGTTTTCCCGATGGTTGCCCCGATGGTTGTCCCGATGATTGTCCCGATGGATGTCCCGATGGTTGTCCCGATGGTTGTCCCGATGGTTGTCCCGATAGTTGACAAATAGACAGATAGATAGATAGATGTCGTTAGATGTTGTCCCGATGGTTGCCCCGATGGTTGTCCCGATGGTTGTCCCGATGGTTGCCCCGATGGTTGTCCCGATGGTTGCCCCGATGGTTGTCCCGATGGTTGTCCCGATGGTTGATAGATAAGGAGACAGAGAGAGACACAGGGATAGATAAAGAGATAGACAAATAGATACAGAGATAGACTGATATATATATATACAAGGAGAGAGAGATAGTCCCGATGGTTGTCCCGATGGTTGTCCCGATGGTTGTCCCGATGGTTGTCCTGACCATTGATCCATAGATCGGTTGATTGATTGATATACAGAAACAGATAACAATATATATATATATATACAGATATAGACAGACATATACATATATATATATATATATATACATATACATCGGTAAGAATAAATATATAGAGAGATAGAGAGATATGAAGATAAAGAGGTATATAAATCGAGAGATAAAGAGAGAGAGAGAGAGATAGAGAGAGAGAGATCGGAGGTTGGGGAGTGTGAGCGGAAGTAAGCCCAACCGAGAACTGGGTTTCGGCTTCGGTATGTGTCGTGAGTGCGGGCGACGCGAAGCTGCGCGAGTTCCTGCACTGGAATGGGGCCATCTATTGACAAAAACGCCGCCCCCCGAGCGCCGGGCGAGGCCCCCGGTTCTCACAGCGGTTGTCCCGATGATTGTAGTTGTCCCGATGGTTGTCCCGATGGTTGCCCCGATGGTTGTCCCGATGATTGTCCCGATGGTTGTCCCGATGGTAGTCCCGATGGTTGCCCCGAGGGTTGTCCCGATGCTTGTCCCGATGGTTGTCCCGATGGTACATAGATAGATAGATATCGTTATATGTTGTCCTGGTGGTTGTCCCGATGGTTGCCCCGATGGTTGTTTCGATGGTTGTCCCGATGGTTGCCCCGATGGTTGTCCCGATGGTTGTCCCGATGGTTGTCCCGATGTTTGCCCTGATGGTTCATAGATAGATAGATAGATAAATAGATAGATAGAGAGATGTCGCTACATGTTGTCCCGATGGTTGTCCCGATGGTTGCCCCGATGGTTGCTTCGATGGTTGTCCCGATGGTTGTCCCCATGGTTGCCCCGATGGTTGCCCCGATGGTAGTCCCGATGTTTGTCCCGATGGTTGTCCCGATGGTTGTCCCGATGGTTGTCCCGATGGTGGATAGATAGTTAGATAGATAGATAGATAGATAGATAGATGTCGTTACATGTTGTCCCGATGGTAGTCCCGATGGTTGCCCCGATGGTTGTCCCGATGGTTGTCCCGATGGTTGCCCCGATGGTTGTCCCGATGGTTGTCCCGATGGTTGTCCCGATGGTTGTCCCGATGGATGGTGCCCCGATGGTTGCCCCGATGGTTGTCCCGATGGTTGCCCAGATGGTTGCCCCGATGGTTGCCCCCATGGTTGTCCCGATGGTTGCCCCGATGGTTGTCCCCATGGTTGTCCCGATGGTTGTTCCGATGATTGTCCCGATGGTTGTCCCGATGGTTGCCCCGATGGTTGTCCCGATGGTTGTCCCGATGGTTGTCCCGATGGTTGTCCCGATGGTTGCCCCGATGGTTGCCCCGATGGTTGTCCCGATGGTTGCCCAGATGGTTGCCCCGATGGTTGCCCCCATGGTTGTCCCGATGGTTGCCCCGATGGTTGTCCCCATGGTTGTCCCGATGGTTGTCCCGATGGTTGTCCCGATGGTTGTCCCAATGGTTGTCCGGATGGTTGTCCTGATGGTTGTCCTGATGTTTCATCCGTATATATATACACATACCTATACGACCACCCTGCGGGTGATAAGGAGGTTTGGGGGGGCAGCAATGGGCAAAAGTTGTGATTGTTGCTATGACGAGGCCTGTGGTGCGGAGTCTAGTGAGTAGTGTGATTGTGCACGTGAGCGTGATGTGATGTAGCGATGTTGGCGAAGCGCACTCGACATTGTCGTGAATCGATGTTTGCATTTGGATGTGCAAATCGATTTGCATTTCGATGTGCTTTTCGGTCCGCATGTCACTTTATATGCACACTTGCGTTGGATAGCTCGCCGCAAGCGGCGATGTTTTGAAATGCGTAACCCACGGCGGGACACCGGCGGGACACCAGCGGGACACCGCGGGCCAACGTTTGACGGGAGCAGCATTGTTTGCCCCGGCCGCGGCCCAGCCACAGGAGGATTTCGGGACACCAGCGGGACACCGGCGGGACACCGCGCGGCACCGGCCGCCGGAAGAGAAACATTTGGTCCGGCCGCGGCCCAGCTACAGGAAGATTTCGGGACACTCGCGGGACACTGGCGGGACACCGCGCGGCACCGGCCGCCAGAGGAGTTACATTTGGTCCGGCCGCGGCCCAGCCACAGGAGGATTTCGGGACACCGGCGGGACACCGCAGGACACCGCGGGGCACCGGCCGCCGGAGGAGTTACATTTGGTCCGGCCGCGGCCCGCAAGAGGATTTTGTCACCTCGCCCGCCCACGCATTTTCGCCTCGCCCGCACGCACGCACGGCACGCACGACACAAACCCGAAACCGAAATCGATTTCCCGGTAGGGGTGGACTCCGTTTCACGTCAGACTCACCCCCCAACTTCCGATATATACCTATACGACCGCCATGCGGGCGATAAGGAGGGTGTGGGGGGATTGAAATCAAATGCCACCCTGACTGACATCCAGCCTGTCGCCTTGATATCATATCTCTCTTTCTCTCTGTCTTTCTCTCTGCGTCTCTGGATTGGATTGGATGGGATAAAAGGGATTGGATAAGATAAGATGGGTTGGATTGGAAGAGATGAATTGGATAAGATAAGATGGATTAGATTGGCCTGCCGCAGGCGCAGAAACAAACGAATTGATGGATTGGGTTGGGTGGCTTGGATTGTGTGGGATAAGATAAGATGGAACAATATGGATAAGATGGATTTGATAAGATAAGCTGGATTGGATGAGAGAGCCCGCCGCAGGCGCCGAAAAGAACGAGTTATGGAATTAGCGACATGCGTTAGCGCCAGGACGCCCGGGACACCTGGGACACCTGGGACACCGCCCCGCCCAACTGGGACACCTCCCAGCCACCGACGGACGGGAGACGGACTTCCGCTCCTACTGACACCCGGGACACCCGGGACACCGCCCGGCTCAACTGGGACACCTCCCAGCCACCGGCGGACGGGAACGGACTTTCGCTCCTACTTCGGCCTAGCTACAGGAGGATCACGCGCAGCTTCGCCTCGCCCGCACGCACGACACGAACACGAAACTGAAACCGAAACACGAACACGAAACTGAAACTGAAACTGAAACCGATTTCCCGATCTCACCCCCCAACCTCCGATATATGTGTATATATATATATATATATGTAGGTAGATGTATGTCTGTATATAGAGATGCATGTATTAATAGATTGATAGATCGAATGATTACTATATTGATCGATTGACAGAAATACTGATATATGGACAGGTATAGACATATATAGATAACATGTTGGTTGAAGGGTTGATTGATATATTGATATATTGTAATATTTGTATATTGCAAGATAGATGGGTACATGTAGATATATATATATATATATAAATATATATATATGTATATACATACACACTTACAGACATGTTGGATATATTGATGGATCTATATATTGGACATTTGATACACTCAAAGACACCCATGTACATATATGTTGCTCGATGGATAGAAGATTGCTAGATATGTAGCTGCGTATATCGATATATTGATATATGGGTTGGTAGACTGATTGGCTGATTGCTTCATAGATATATAAATATATGCAAAAATATATAGATGCATACACAGATAGGTAGATGGGTCTCCTGGATGGATAATTCGATAGATAGGTCGATACGTAGATGGGTAGATGTGCACGACAATGGGAAGGTTGAAGAAACCACCAAATAACCCAGAGCCATCGCAAATCGACCGCCTCCCCCTCCCCCCCCCCAACCCCCATATCACCCGTAGGGGTGTCCTATCGGTGTATATATATATATATATACTAGAACCACGCGCGCGCTACGCGCGCGCTTAGGTTCTAGGCGACCCCGAAGACGGTAACAGTATCCACGGGACCTATCCCATGAGGTCTTCCGGGTTCCTCCCGTTCACGCGTGCCTGATTTTCGGGCGGATTATGCGAAGCACATGAAAGGCTTGGCCTGTAGCGTACCAGCGACGACCGACGACGGACCACCGACGACAGACGACGATGACGACGGACGACGACGGACGACAGAAGACGAGCGCGACCGACGTCGACAGCGACGACCAACCGACGACACATGACGACGACGGCGACCACGAAGACAACGCGCTCGCGCCCGCGCGCGCGAGTCGCGCGATCATCTCCATCAGCCATCATCATCATCATCATCATCATCATCATCATCATCATCATCATCATCATCATCATCAGCAGCATCAGCATCATCATCATCATCATCATCATCATCATCATC